CCCTAAACCCTAAACCATAACCCCTCAACCCTAAACCCTAAATCCTGAACCCTAAACCATAACCCCTCAACCCTAAAGCCTAAACCCTAAACCCTAAATCCTGAAACCCAAGGATGGCACGCGCCAGCATTCTGGCACCACCTCTTGAGGCCGGAAAAGAGGGGCGCTCTCGACGCAAAAAGCCTCGCAGAAGAAGAAACCAGTGAAGGATAGGCCTTTTGGGTTCAGGGTTTTAGGGTTTTGGGGTTAAGGGTTTAGGGTTTAGGGTTTAGGGTTCGGGGTTTAGGGTTCAGGGTTTAGGCCTCTGGGCTTTAGGGCTTTGGGTTTAGTAAGTCGGCTATGCGTGGTTTTGTAGTTGGGTTCACTTCATATGGGCACTTATAACTCTACTTATAACCTACTTACCAGGTCTCCTGGGCCTCTAAGTAGGTGCGTGCAACTTTGAAAACGCATCTCATGAGGTTTAGGCTTAGGTGTTAGGGTTCAGGGTTTAGATACAAGGGGGGGGTTCCATCTTATCGTTCTAGTATTGTATGCCTCAAAATCTATGCTAATTATTACGGCCTTGTATTGTCCCACCAGTACATCCAGTCATCTGCAAGGGCTCCGACTCACGGCATGCTGAAATATGGACCTCGGTGCCTCCACTTTCTGAAGTTGCCCTGTGCTAGTATGTGTGAAATATCCAAGCACTTGAACACTAAACCGCAGCATAGCACCGCAAACCCTAAACCTAACACTAAACCCCTAAAGCCCCAAACCCCTGAACCCCAAAAACCGTAAACCCCCAACAAACCTTACAGACTTGGCCGAAAAGCAGTTAGTAGATCGCCCCTCAACAGATTCCGTCCTTCAAGATGTCCTTCACTTAGTAGGCCTTTGGGATACTTGTGTATTTGCCTTCATTGGGCTTAAGAGGGTCTTATTCACGAGTGTTTTTCAGATGCTTTAAAGGCTAAACCCTAAACCCTAAACCCTAAAAGCTAAACCAACCTAGGAATCAGGTTTCGAGATGCTCCTTCGAGCTGTTGACCCCCAGGGCGCCCTTTATGTTTAGGGTTTATAATAGGGTTTAGGCTGGGTTTAGGGTTTAGGGTTTAGGGACCCTTTGGGGGGTAAGGGGGAGGGGGGGCAGGGTACCACACTTCTTCAAATAGGCCTTCTTAGCTCCTTACTGCGGGTATGAAGGCCCCCGAACCCCTCCCCCCACCACCCTAAGGGTCCTTGAGGCTTTAGCACGGTCCCTGCCGGTTTAGGGTTTGGGTTTCTTTCTACGGTTCATAATTAGTTAGGCCTCCTTGTTATAATTTCGTCTCCTTATTCAAGTCCTTAAACAGAAGGTCTTGTGGGGTTCAAGTTTAGGGTTTAGGGTTTAAGATTAGGATTTCATGTAGGTATTTAGGGTACGGTAGGTACTTGGTGGATCCTCTTAGGGTATTTGGCTTGCACACCTCCTGGGATATCGGACGGAGTGACTTAAATATGGCTTCGAGGTTGGCTATGCTGAGGGTTTAGGGTTTAGGGTTTAGGGCCGAAGAGCGGACCAGTACTGCGAGATCTGCCGAACACAACAGCTCTATGATCCGAAACCCCAGGCCCCAACCCTCAAGCGCAAGCCAAAGCGCCCTGAACCCCAACTCCTTAACCCTAAATCTAAACCAGTTGCCTCAACAAAAATCTACAAAAGTATACACACAAACCCTAACAGAACCCTCTATTGAAACCTATACATCTCCAACTAGAAAAACCCCAAGCCCTAAACCTAATCCCAGATCGCCGCTATCGTCTAATTAAGGAATACACCTCAGATTACTGTAGGGCCCCATATGTTTTGAAGCAAAATCCTCACAATTAAAGGATTTAGACTGGGACCTCGTAAGGCCCCGCAGCCCATACCGCAAACCCCAAACCTAGACCCCAAGTCACTAAAGTCCTAAACCTAAACCCTAAACCCTAAACCCTAAACCCCGAAAATCCTAAACCCTCCCCTTGAAACCCCGAAACCTCGGAGGCCCTGAGCCCATTCTTAGGGAGCCCGAAAGGGCATAAGCATAAGCATTGTATAGGGATATCCCTACTTTATTTGTGCTTCATTATAAGGGGGTTTATATTGGATATCCCTATCCCTAAACCCTAAACCCTAAACCCTAGACCCTAATTTTTGCTTATGTGTCTTTTTTTGGGCCCTACGTTCGACTTCCCCCCGAAGAATGCGGCGAGTCGCCGAGGCCTCGCACCTCTTCTTGTCGCACTTCCTCTTTGGAGCAGCTCCTCAGCTGCCTTTCTGGCGGTACCCTACACCCCAAGAACCTAAACCCTAAACACCTAAACCCCAAAACCCCTAAACTCCAAAACCCAAGCCCTAACCCTAAACCTAAACCCTAAACCCCTTAACCCCAAAACCTTAAAAACCTGAATCCTATATGGGTTTGGATGGAGGTTTCCTTAAGTTTCCAGCTCCTTTCAGAGCGTCCACGGTTTATAGTGGTACGCTAAGGTTCTATGGCGCGTTTGGGGCTTAGGGGTTTAGGGTTTTGCGTTTGGGGTTTAGGGGTTTAGGGTTTTGGGTTTAGGGCTTGGGGTTTAGGGTTTAGGGTTTAGGGGTTCGGTTTGGGGGGCTGGGTAGGTAGCTGCTAATCGTCCTAGGGGTAGGTAAGTACCCAAAGGGTCCAAAGTACCTATGTAGCAGAATGCAGGGTTCCTACGTTAGGAAGTACTATTATGGTTGGGGGAAGTATCCCCCATAACGGTATCTAGGACCATTTGGGATAAACTACTTCTTTAATGTCTGAAAGGTCTTGGCCTTCGAACACAGAACCCAGCAGCTACAACTAGGACTGAGTCTGCGCATGGCCGATACGGATGTTTTGCTTCAGGTGACGTCCTCCACCACGTGAAGGAGGCGGACTCCAAAAAGATCGATTTCATCAGATTAGCCCCAGCAGCTGATGAACCTGATTAATTGAACTAATAGTGCTATGGTTATTTCCTGGTTTCCTACACCATGCTATACCCTAACCCTAGTGGTCCAACTACCCGCTCATACATGATGTAGATGGGTGCTTTACGGCCAAAGTATACACTACATGGGTACGTGCACCCTTAATGTAAGACCTTGCTTGAACGATACAGGTCGCAAGAACAGCTTTGGCTCGAAACTGTTTGCCCTGTCGACGGATCTGGGATGGTGAAGTTGAACTCTAAACCCGAAGCCCTGCCAGGAGCCTCCAAGTACCATTTACTAAAGCCCTTGTGGTCCTTGATAGAAGGAATTTTGGGGGGGTATGATAGAGGGTCGTTGGCGGGTCGAGGCATGGTATAAGTCCTATAGAGCAGAACCTCCACAGCGCTCAACCCTGCAACACTCAAGCCGGTGTTGATCCTTAGCGCTGGCAGTAGTACTTACCGTAAGTTGGTCTTCGTATGTCACGTCCGCGTATCCGAGCAGTATATCCACTGAGCATGGGCTAGTGAAGCATTTGGCGCTAGTGGTCTTCCATTTCCCCTTCATGTACTGCAGCACGAGGTATCGCAAGCATCAGCATACCAGCATGGCGCTGCCCCGAAACCCAGACCCTAAACCTCAACCTAAAACTCTATGTGCAGGGACCCTAAACGTGTGTAGAATAATGGCCCTTTGTGGGTATTGGGCCATGATTTTACTTGCTGTCGGGGTTTACGTAGACCCCAAGCCAAAACTCTAAACCCTCGAGTGGGGTTCTCCAGCTGGTTTTTGTGCTTCTTCTTCCTCGTCACCCTCCTCGTCCTTCTGTTTGCGTATGTATGTATAGTGTACACACATATACATACATATACTTACTTATAAATATAGATAGTATTATAGCTGTTTGTAGGTGTGTAAGTAAGTGCGATGTTCTGGCGTGAGTGAGGCTGCAGGCAGCGCAGAACCAACATACACATACATACTGAATAGGTACACCCTCATGGATGGCGGCCCAAAAGGCCTGTAGTAAAGGGCGTATCCTGGAGGCAGTGCTGTTTAAAGGAACACACACACACACACAAAACGGGCCTCCCACATATACTGTTACTTGGGGTTGGGATGGATTAGGGTTTACAGGGATTGATTTAAGATGAGGCCTCTGTCCCTTTGTTGGCTCACTTCACCGTTCTGGGTTCCCATGGTTCCCGAGTCTTTGGTACCAGCACCTAGTGGCAGCTGACCCAACAAAACATTCCTGTCACAATAGGTCGCCGGCGACCTCGGTTGCAAGCGCACGGTCCGGCATGCTGGAATCATCCTATAATCTGACTACGAACTACCTGTGCCGGTTGATCGCCGCCATCCCCAACCCGACCTCTGCAAAACGTGGTGGCGAGCTTGCCAAGCAGACCAGTGGCGGTGGTGAGGTGGGTAGGGGAACAATTGGGAAAAGGACTTGCATAATCTGAAAAGTTTTCGTAGAAGCATGCAAGTGTTCAAAATCTGTTTGAATTGATTTCTCACTCCTCAAGGACTCTCCAGAATTTTCATGTGCCGACCTTTTCCCCGCGACGTGTGGTCAAACAAGTTCGGGTTAGTTCGCAATAACTTCGATTACTGTTCCGAAAATGTGGGCTGTGGTTGGGGGCTGATTGTTTTCTTTCGGGGAAGTGCGGACTGAACGCAGGGAGTCGTGGGAAAGTTGGAATTGACATTGGGGTGGAATGATAAACAGATGCCAAATACCTTCCCAAGCCCCGGCACAGTTTTTGAGTTCCGTCTGCGTTGCTTCAATGTGTATTTTGGGCACGGTGTTTTGCGACTATGACTACGACTACGAATTGGGTAAACGTTACGGATACATGCTAAGCGAGACATCTTCGAAACGATCGTTAGCACAGGTCCCATGGTCTGTGATTTTCTTCTGGTTCGCGCATAGTTTTTTGCTGGATCCAGCTTAACCTCAGAACAGTGGACATGCCGCTGACTTTTGTATCCAACCATGCAACGCCGCAACTGCTTTGGGATGGTCCAAGGACCCATCGGTATGGTTCGGCGCACCCTTGAGATCTAAATCCCAAAGCCTCTATAACTTTTTTCCAGAGGCCGACATCGTGAAGCCGTGTGCGCTAAGTCTTGAAGTCTTGAGCCGAACTTTACAAACGCCATAACAGCTAGTGACAAGGCCCTGATAGAACCTTAGAGAAATCCCTCATCGGAGCCTTGTAGGATTCTTGACTCCTACCTGCAGTCTCCGGTGTCGTCCCCGTTCGAATACCTTGCATGTTGATTATACAGTCCTATCTATACGACTGTTTCTTGGACCGAACAAGACTTTCAATGGCCACTCTAGTCACTATAGGCGCTAAAGCCAGACGCAGCAAAGCATGAAGCCACCCCAAACCCTGAACATCAAGCTCTCAAGCCCTAAACGGCCCGAAACCCTAAACCGTTAACGGAAAGGCCCAACACACATCAAACAAAAACAACTTTACCCTAAACCCTAAACCCTAAACCCTAAACCCTAAACCCTAAACCCTAAACCCTAAACTAACAAAAACAACTTTAACCGGGTAGGTCGGACCGCTGGGGGAGGACCGAGACATGAGCCACCGGCAAGGAATTTTGGATTCCGGCCGTGCGTTTGAGGTTGAGGGTTTAGGGTTTAGGCTTTAGGGTTTAGGGTTTAGGGTTTTTCGGTCCTTAACTGGGGGAGGGTTTGAGGTTGAGGGTTCAGGGTTTAGGTGTTATTGAATAGGTTCTAGGGTTCAGGGTTTCGGAGTTATTGTTCAGGGATTCTGAATCGTCTTGCTCAAGCCCCAAATCTTGAGCTTTGTGAAGTGTAACGTGTGTCTCTGTTAGACAGGAATAGTCTCATTGAGGCTCACCATGCTGCTGACCCGGACCCCTCGACCTTACCCGTAGGAGCATGCTAGCAAGCAGTGGGCTTAGGGTTTAGGTTTTGAGTACAGCCATTTCTATCCCTAAGGCTCGAGGACTCATGCTTTACTTGAAGACTATCTAAACCATAAAAAGCTTTTGGGGCCATTTTGAGCTTAGGGCTCATAACCGCAATTAGGACCTCTTTTACGGTACTTATAAGCCTACGTATTACCCAACTACTAAGTCCCCCGACCCTCCAAGTAAGCCCTAGATGAACAGCTTGTTCCCCTTTGCAAAGAGTTCGACCTTTGGATTTACCGTTTTATGCACTTGCGATATGGGTTAGGTCTATTTAGGGTCCTGGTTATAAGGGTGCCGTGCTATGTGGGGGGGCCCAAGAAGATTTAGAGAACTACCCATATCTTGGAAGATGGGTTGATTCATAGAATTCGGACGTTGTGGGATAATATTATCACTTAACGGACCGAGAGTTCAAGTTTACCGGCTTAAGTGGATGCTACTCGAGTGATATTGAACAGCCCGGATAACATAGCACATAATTTAAGCCCTAAACCCCGAAACCTCAACCCTAAAACTCAACCCCTGAACCCTAAACCTCCCAAACTAACCTCCTAAAGCCCTAATCCCTAAGACCCTAAACCCCTATAAGCCCTAAGCCGTAAGCCTATACCCTAAACCCTAAACCCTAACCCCTAAACCCCTAAACCCCTAAACCCCTAAACCCTAAACCCTAAACCCTAAACCCCTAAACCGCTAAACCCTAAATCC